GATTGGTACTTAAAAAATATTTTTCTTTAATCCACGTCTCTCTGGGTCCTTTATATTCTTCTAGAAAATATTTTTTTTAAAAATCGACGCCTTTGTTCTGTTGATCGTAGAAAAAATCCAATTCTATTTTAGTTCCATAAATATGAAAAATTATGTGGCTTTTTTTAGCTTTTGAAAATAATTTTTTTAAAAACTAAACCTCTTTTAATCCTTGAAAAAATGTTCTTAAAGCATCAACGCCTCTTGTAGTCAAAGAAAACTATTATTTAAAAATGTTATGTCTGTGTTGGCCCAAGGACATTTCTTTAAAAGAAATCTACATAACCTAGTCTTTGAAACAAAAAATCTTCAAAGAATCCAGGCTTTTTAGTATCAAAAAAAAATCCTTGAAAAAATATTATTTTAAAAAAAAATCACGCCTCTGTTGGCATGAAAAAATAATCTTAAAAAATCCACGCCTATTTTAGCCGAAGAAAAATATTCTTTAACAATGAATCTGTTGGCCATAGAAAAATATTCTTTAAAAAAATCCAGGGGTTAAGACTTTTCGTCCTTGGAAAATATATAAAAAAATCTACAGTCCCCTAAATTTAGAAAAAATCCACGCATATATTAGTTCCAAAAAATTATATTTTATTTTTGAAAATAAATTCTTTAAAAAAAACCCCACCCCACCATAGGTCATTGAAAAAATATTCTTTAAAAAATCCACACTTTGTTTGGTCTTTTAAAAAATATTCTTTAAATATACACGCCAAAAAATTATTTTTGGCCCTTGAAAATAAATTCTTAAAAAAAATTACGCGTCTGTAGGTCGTTGAAAAAATATACTTAGAAAAACATCCAAGCCTTTGAAGGTCCTTGAAAAAATATTCTTTAAAAAATCCAAGCCTCAGATGGTCCTGGAAAAAATATTCTTAGAAAAATATCCTCTAAAATCAACGGCTCCGTAGGTCGTTGAAAAAATATTCTTTATAAAAATCGACGTCTCTGTAGGTCCTTAAAAATATTCTTTAAAAAAGGTTGTAGGTCCTTGAAAAAAATATTCTTTAAAAAATCCACGGTTTAGGTAATTCAATTCTCTGTTGGTCCTAGAAAAATACTCCTCCATAGCAAAAACATTAAACCAGCAGTAAGTCGGACGCGGCCGGCCATACGATACCCTACACAACTACCACAGAGCTCTATTTTTCTGCGGATTTTTATTCCGAGCCTGGAAAATATTTCGTGACAGTTGCAGCCTCTTGACCGATTAGAAGTCAACAGCACCTCTTCCTTACACTGACATATTTTCCGAATATTAGCAATATTCAGTACAGCGCTTCTAATTACTTGTCCATATTCTCTTCACCGTGGGTTGTGTTGTGCTGTTTCGGTCCACTTTATCCCAAAATTATTATCTGATCATCACCGAAAATTGTAGGCGTTGTCCCTGACCATAACTGGAATCTCATGGAACATTTCTAAGCGATCAGCGCTATATTTCCGCCCTCTATTGTGGTAATGGTTTATTAAATAATATCTGAATACGTAAGCACCTGTAAATATGTAAGTGTAACTCCCACATCCGAGTGCATACGAAAACGAACCTATCGTTGTGTTAAAAAATGGCATATAAGTCCTTAAAAAATCCACGCTTCTATTGGACATAATTGTTAGAAAAATAACTCTATCTTTAAAATGTTAGTTCTGGAAGAACTGGGTGTAAGCCATAGAAAAGATTTTTTTTAAATATGATATCCTTAGAAAACCAAAAATTGCTTAAAATAGCCGATCCTTTTCTAGTGTCATTAAAAAATTTTAATTTATTTTTTTAAATGCTCGATCTACTAGTCTTGTTAAAAATATTCTTAAAAATACAGTCCCCTAGTTCTAGAAAAAAAATAATCCTTAAAAATCTTCTCTCTGCAAATCCTATAAAAAAAGGCATTTTTGTTACAAAATACGATCATATGGAAATCTGTTTTTATAGCTCTGTTGTGAATGAAAAATTGAGTCTTCAAAATTAAAAAAAAAATCCAACTCTATAAAAGATCTTACTGTACACGAAAAATATTCCTTTAAAGTGCAAGATTATAGCTCTTTGAGTTAATCAAAAATTTACCCATCAATTGGTTCTGAAATTAGGTATAAATATTTTTGATCAGATTTTTATCAATCCAAAAATATTCTTAAAAATTAAAAATAAAAATCTTTGATAGTCAGTGAAAAAAAGATACTTTAAAATTAAAAAAAAATCCATCTCTTCTATATTCTTTAAAATTGCAAGCTTTTTTAGTCCACCAAAAATGTAACCATCAACTGGTTCTCAAAATTTCGATTATTTTTCGAATAGGACCAAACTTATATTGGTCTTTATATTAAAAAAAAATCCGTTCTCTTGACGTCGAAATATTTTAAATATTCACAATGACTATTTTTTTAAAAAATGCTTAAAACATAAAAAAATTTTGCTATTCTTTAAAAAAAAAATCTCATTTATTGCATATAGACATATTCCTACAGATTTTTTTAACGAAATAAAGTGAAAAAAATCACATTCCAAACACTGTCCCATATATTTGTTCTCCATTCAATGTTTATGTTAATTTATGTGAAAAGAAAATATGTCCCCATGCATATTGTGGTGGTCTTAAGTACACAGACCAAGCTCACACTTGTGTATGTGTGTGTGTGTGTGCGTGCATTCACATGTGATATACAAGGTGTTAAAAAAATTATAGAATCCACGATTTTTCACACTTTGTTAAACCAAAAATGATAAATTCCTTCATTGCACAAACACACTCTCTCTTTACACATGTGTGTGACGAAAACAAAAATGTTTATATGTATGAAAACGTTCACATGCGAACGAAACCCACAAAAGCCTGTCCCTAAGTCTGGGATATTCCAATACAAGCTGTTCGCTTTCGCGGCCAAGTATTTTTATTTCAAAAGTAACAGCTTGGTTGTGTAAATCCCGCGTAATTTCCCCCTTTCTGAGCTGGTTAAGATGAAGAGAGGTGGCGGTGCTGGTGACCAGGTAGGAAAAGGAAAGATGATGTTGCTCGGCATTTCACTTGTTGTTTACACCGGATATCCGGTTTATTGTGTGTGTGAGTGTATCATTGCTTATGGTGTTGCAAAAAATACGAAAATGTTTAGCAACATTGTTGCCCGTTTACAACTACCTGTTGTGTGTCCAAGGGATGTCGTTCACTCTCTCTCTCTCTCGCAACATTTCTCTTCCGTTTTTGTTTTTCGTTTGTACAACTTTGCCATTTGCCGCCGCTCAGCAACTTTTGGCTAAGGCTTCGTGGATTTGCGCCACACCGCCACAGCATTAGTATGCAACGAGTAATAGCCAGTGATCGATTGATGTGCGATCTCTCGTCCAAATAGCATAAAATACGATTTCCATTTTATTTTTAATTTTTCTTTATACGCAAATATTATTACGTGAGAGAGCTAACGAGCGAGAGTGCATTCAAGTGTAAAACCAAAAAAACAAAACAAATCAAGTTTTCTGTGAGGAACAGCAACAACAAAACGAAACTTACGAAGTATTCCAATATTTTCATACGAGTGCTCTGCTCCCAATTTGTGTGCGAGTGTGTGCCAATACTCTTTCTTCTTGGGTGTACATTGTTGTGTCGTGCTGACCCACCAAGTAAGAAACAACAACAACAGCATCAGCAAAAAACGAAATCAAACATTTTTTTGTTTGTTTATTCACGTTTGGCCAACCCCTCCCCCACAAACGAAATTGTTGTTGTGTGTGTGTGTGTTTGCCTCATTGCCAACATCCATTGTACGAACGGCAGCAACATCAACACAACACAGCGCTACCTCTGTTGGTATTTTCAATCGTCACAGAGAGAGAGAGAGAGTGTGTGAGCAAGACTGCCAAAGAGAGAGAGAGAGTGCTTACCGTTGGCTAGTGTGTTTTTTGCCTGAGTGTTAGAGCCACTCTCCTCATCATTGTTTAGTTTATTTATTCAACGACCGATACCGTGTGTGGACATTATTTTACGAAACGCGCAACATATAACAACACACACTCCTCCCAACAACAACAACACAAAAATAAAATTAAGAAAAAAGCAAAATAAACGCGTCGCCCCGTTTATAACCGCAAAAATAAGTATCTCAAAGATAGAGCAGCCGGGCAAACGAATAAAAATTATGTGTGTTGTGTAAACGTAACGAATTTAAAAAAATTGTAAATTTTTGTTAAAATGAAACTGTAAGAAAATTATTGAAAGAAAATTAATTTTCAATTTTTTTTAAAAGTTAATAAAAAAACGTGTAGCAACAAATGTCGCCGCGCCAAACAAAATAAAAGAACGACGTCAACGAAGAATGAATGTGAATACCAATCAAGCAAGAAAAGCACAAGAGAAATAGCCCACAACAACAACAAAATCTAGTTTATTTAAAGAAGAAAAATATCCAACAACAAGAAAAAAGTATTCTGCAAAATATAAAAAATATATATAACGCAAAGCACAAAAAAGGTGAAGAACGTGTAAGAATTGGAAAAAAAATAAATACAGATCTTATGCCGCAGCAACAAATTAAGTGAATTAAAAAAATAATAATAAATCCATAACAACAACAACACGAAAAAAAATCAATAAATAAAAAAATTACAACAACAAGAAAAAGTTTCTGTGTGTGAAAAAAAAAATAATTTTTTTTTGTGTAAATATTACAACGACAACAACAAGAAATTGCAAAAACACACACACACAAAATTGTAAAGAAGAAAAATAACAACAACAAATAAATAATTTCTTCAAGTGTTATCTAATCTTTAGCAAAACAACAAAAATAATAACAACAGCCGTAGTAACTACCACAACAAAATCGAGTTTTGGAAGCCACAAAATTTAAATAAAAGTTTGTTTTGTGTGTTTTTTTTAAAAAAAAGTGCATCAAATTTCAACAACAACAAAAATGGCAAAATTCTCAAATAACCAAACATCATCAAACACCAACAACACCACCATCACCTTGACATCTGTCATGTTCAAATTGTTCATCTTCAGTTTGATTTGTCTTAGCCAGCCATCGTCAATGGTCAATGGCCGCAGGCATTCGCCATTGATTGTCGATGAAAATGATGGAAATCGACGGAACAATCGACCAGCGGGTAAGTTTTTAAAAAATAAGTTTGCATTTAATTTAAAAAAAAATTTTAAAATTTAGTTTTGGGTGAATTGGGATATTTTACTTAGATATCTTTGAGGGAAAAATTTGGACAAATCTTAAAGTTTTAATTTTTTAGAATGAAATCATTTCAAATTAAAAAAATTGAAATTTCTCATTAATGAAATATATAGCGAATTTTTTCTTAGGGTTTTGGATTTCTATTGAAATCTTACCCAATATTGAAAATATTCTACAAATCGAAACTTTTATAAAAAAAAAAAATCCTCTGGAGCAAAACTTTTCATTTATCAACGTTTTTCCAAAATTCTTTTATTTTGGATATAACAAGATGAAGAGTATTTAATTTATAATAAAATTTGAAAATTTTCCCTTTTGGGAAATTTTGAGGAATTTTTTATTTTCATTGAAAATCGATAATTTGCATTAATTTAAATTTCCTTTCGGAAATTATTTGAAATCAATGTCTGTGAAAAAAACTTTCAATATTTTAAAATTCAAAAAATTTGTATTTTATAAAATTCTAATTAAAAAAATTCCATTAAAAAGGGAAATCGGAAAAAATTAAAAAATTTTTAAATTTTTAAAAAAAATTTCCAAATTATAAAAAAATGTCTTTTCATTTATTTTTTATTTATTTTTTTTAATTCCCTTCTAATATTTCTGTAACTCTAATTTTTTCTAGTTTGAAAAATTTTTTTTTTCAAAAAAAAATTAATATAATTTTTAAGAAAAAATCTATTAATATTAAATTGAAATTACCAAATTCATTTTTTTTTTTTTTTTAATTTTCAATTGTTATTTTCAATGTATTTTTTATATAAAATTTAATATTGAATTGTTTAATTTATGAAAGCGAATTAAAAAAATCTATTAATATTGAATTAAAATTTCAAAAATTATTTTTTTTAATTTAAATTTTCATTATATTGAATTTTCTTCAATTTTTCAAAATTTTAAATTTTCTTTAATTTTTAAAAATTTTAAATTTTTAAAAATTTTAAATTTTTTTCAATTTTTAAAAATTTTAAATTTTTTTCAGTTTTTAAAAATTTTAAATTTTCTTCAATTTTTCAAAATTTTAAATTTTCTTAAATTTTTCAAAAAAAAATATATTTTTTTTAAATATCTAAAATTTAAAAATATTTTTTTTTTAACTTTTCCAAAATATTTGTTAATTTTTTTAAGACATTTCATTAAATATCTTGTTATTATTTCAAAATATTTTTTTCAAATTTCTGATTTTTCAAAATATTGAATTTTCTTTAGTTTTTCAAATTTCTGACTTTTCAAAATATTGAATTGTCTTTAGTTTTTTATATATACAATATATATATATATATATATATATTTATTTTTATTATTTTGAAAAACTAAAGAAAATTCAACATTTTGAAAAAATCAGAAATTTGAAAAAATATTTTTTTAAATTTCTTTACTTTTCAAAAAAATATTTTTTATGAAATTTTCTTAAATTTAAATTTTTTCAGAATTTTGAATTATTTTTTTAAAAATTACGATTTTTAGGATATTTCATTATTATTTTTTTTTAAATATTTTTTTATTTTGAAAATATTTTTTTTTCAAATTTCTCCCTTTTAAGTTTCTTTCAAGTTAAGTATTTGAATTTCTCAAAAATCTCTCTCCTTTCTCTTTTACCGAAATCCGAGAAATCTAATCCTCTACCATTTTCCAATTAGAATCCTTTAAATCAGAATGACATGTTGCTAAACATTATCGGTGGTTGGCGGCTTGCACATTGCAACACCGGAAAATTTGGGAAATTCCCACAGTCTTTTTTTTTTGACCTAGGATTCCGAGCGTTGTGTTTATGTTTTTATGACCTGCTTATAAAAACAGACAGGACCAGCCAGACACAGAGACGCGGCCAGGCAGGGAAATGTGCGTGTGTGTGTGTTCGCCAATTCACACACAAAATTTTATGACAGATTGTAAAGAATTCATGTGTCGTATAGCGACATGTGTAATTTTGTAACAGAAAGAAAAACTTCTGCTGCAAAAATAGGAATCCGGAATTTCCCATCATATAAAATGTAAGGTTATGGAGAAATATAATATTGGTATGTTTCAATACCTGTTGCAACGATTGGACCACCCAATCGATGGTGGGGAAACCCAACCTGTCACAAGTTACTCTTGGTGTTCAGATCAGACGGATCACTATGGTATTTTTTTAAATCCCTTTGAGAATTGTATTTTTATTTTTCACAGAGTCTCCCTCCCTCCCTCCTCCCAAAAGCTTCTAATTGTCTAAGTAAATATTTAGCTTGACAAGATATTTTTCCTCTGTGTCTTTTTTTGTTTTGTTAGACATTTAGACGTCATCATTGTGAGGAATTTGTGAGAGAATGTGTGTGTTGCTATGCAATAGTTTTTTCTTGTTGTTGTAACAGAACCCAACCAGCATGATGATGATGATGATGATTATACCATTTAGGGTTATGTGACTGTTTTTCTACCTTTCCATTTTCCCCCTCCTTCCCCTCTCCTCTCGTTCTCACCATTTAGCTGGCTAGCTTTTTCATAAGAAATTTACCAATCAATACTGTTTGGAGCCAATTTGTCTAAGGAGGTTTTATTTTACTTTGCCTTACCCTCTCCTTCTCTCTGCCCTAGAATAATTCTCAACAGATTTTCTTGTTGTTGCTATTGTTTCGGAAAACTACTTTTTTCCTGAGCCTCATTGTAAAACATGAAAAATGTGTCTTTAAGCCGCTTAACATTTCTTTAGATCTCTAAGCAGCAGCCGAAGAAGAAGCAGCATTTTATTTTATTTGTTTTGTTTTTGGCTTAAATCCATGTGCTTCAACCGACCTCCATGAATGAATGAGTGTGGGCTGAAGGGATTTAGCTTCATGTTGTTCTCGGCCTTTTGTTAGAGAGTTCGGTTTGGTATTTTGTTTTGTTTCAATAACTCCATGGCCAGTTAACAAGTTTTTCAAGGTCTGATTTTCAAAAAAAAAAAAAAAAGATTTCAAAAGATAATAATATGGAGATAAGCGGGGCAGCTGTTCGAAGATTTAATTAGTATTAAATTTTTTCCTCTTTCTTTATTTTTTGGTAACAAGCTGAGATTTTATTATCGCAGAGGGAGAAGAAGATCAAGAAAATCTAAAAATCTTAATCTGGGTGAATCTGTTCTCTGGTTCGTTGCCACCATCCACATCATTGCATCTTCTCATCCTCTAACAAACATGCCATAAACGAACGAACAACACCTAAATTGCATATAATTAATGTTAATTTATTTTTGTTGTTGTTTTTGTAATATTAAAACAATTTCCTTCTTTGGCCATTATTTTTTTTTTTTTTTATTATTTATACCGCCAATACACCAGGCAACAATTTTTTTTTATTCCCCATTATTTGCTTACGTTATAATGGCGTCTTATGGCGCTATTTTCCTCTTCTCTCTACTCTGCTCTCCTCTCCATCTTTACGGCCATTAACAGTTGTTTTCGTTGTTGTTGTTGTAATCGAACCAGAATGTAATACATCTTTAATTTAATAATTTATTTCCTTTTCATGATGCCACGGACGAGAGGCATCATTTCTAACGGAAGCGTGCTGCCATGCCATAGATTTTGAAGAAAAAAAAAACTTGTTGCAGAACAATTCTTTTTTTTTTCATTAGAACAGGAAAAATATAGAATTTTTTTTGGATTTAAAAAAAAATTGCTAAATAAAATTTAAGGAAAATTTGAATTAAAAAAATAAAAAAGAGAACTTAAAAGGTCGAAAAAATAAAAAAAATGTTTACATAAATAATTTTTTTTTTCTATAAAAAAATTAAAAATATATTTATATAATTTAAAACTTTGATAATTAAAAAAAAAAACGATTTTTTATAAAAATTCGAATGAAACAATTTTTTTTTAAATATACAAAAAATCTTACTTATATTAAAATCTGAAAAAAATTCAAATATGTTTTTTTTTGAATTTCTTAATTTTTTTTTCTTTTTGAAAAATTCAAAAAATTTATTTTTAATTTTTATGTTTTAATTTTTGTAAAATAGAAATTTGAGCAATTAAAAAAATAAAAATGGAATTGTAGTATTTTTTTAACATACAAAAAATTATATTAAAATCTGATAAAAATTCGATTTTTTTTGAATTTCTTAAGATTTTTTTTTTAATTTTTGAAAAATTCAAATAATTTATTTTTGGATTTTCTTTTTACATTATTGTAAAATAGAAATTTGAGCAATTAAAAAAGGATATAGTATTGTTTTTTAATTTATTTTTAATATTTTTGTAATTTTTTTTAAAAAATTAAAAAAAATTAAATTTGAAAAAAAAAATATTTTTTAAAGAAAAACTTAAAAACTAATTTCTCAATTGAAAATAATTTTGTTAAAAAATTTGTTTTTTTGAAAAAAAAATTCCAAAAAAAAAAAAAATATATTGAAAATATATTTAATATTTTTATTTTTTTAAATACATTTTTGTATATTTTCTTATTATTTTATTTATAATACCAATTTTTATTCATCATTTGCATTAAAATAATTAAAAATGTTTCTTAATTTTTGTTAAATAAATTGAATCAACTTTGAAAGAAGAAAAAAATTAAATTTTAATTTTTTTTTAATTTTGGACAAAATAAAAACAAATTTTTTTCAATGAAAAAAATTCCATAAATTAAAAAAAAAATATATTGAAAATATATTTAAGTAAAATTTTTAATTTTTTTTAAATACATTTTTGTATATTTCCTTATTATGTCATTTAAAATTTTAATATTTATTCAACATTTGTATTAAAATAATTAAAAATGTTTCTTATTGAATCAATTTTGAAAAAGAAAAAAATTATTTTTTTTTTTAATTTTGGAAAAATTTTTTTTAATTTATTGTATATTTAATAAAATTTTTAATTTTCAACATTTTTGTATATTTTCTTATTATTTCATTTATAAAAAAATTAAATTTTAATTTTTTTTTTTGCTAATTTCAATTTT